CACTAGATTTTTTAAAAAATTTTGATAGTAAAGAGTCCATCCTAATCTTTTAGCTGTCACGACAAAGCATCATTGCATGGTTGCAAATTAAACTATTCAATGCCATATCTTTTTTCAGCTATTACAATATTGGGATGGGTTGGCGATGATTGAAAGCCATGTGCTAAGACAAAATAAAAAATTAATGTGATCAACTAATCTTAACTCTAGCCTCCTTTTAAGATAATAAACTGATGTCTGTTTGATAAATCAATTCAATACTTAAATTTAATGGATTTAGATTTTAACATATTCAGACGTGTTTGATAACTAAAACTAGAATATTTGAATTCATTAAATGGCACTGAATTTTCTAAACGAAATTTGTTTCGAAAAATAAGTAATAAGTTATTCACTTATCACTTGATATGATATACATTCAAATGTATCAAATTTATTACTTAACAATCCACTAATTTAATATATTCATATTTCAGATTTCAAATTTTAGATTTCAATTTTTAAATTTCAATTTTACCAAACACGCCATTAGCCTACTTAAGATGGACGATCGTCTAACTAGTCAATTAGGATCACTTTTGAGGATCAATTATCAAATCTCTTGTATTAATGGCCTTCATTCTAAAAGGGTGTACACCTGCATTTTAAGATGATTAGAGAGGGCTCTAGAAATTCAACACCACAAGTTTGGGATTCCACGTGTTTATGTCGGTATGATACACTATTACTGTCATAATTAGATGCCTGCTGACAATTAAGTGAAGAAACCACCTGGTTGGAATTTGGAAATGGAAAGAGCATCGCAGCCATTATTCTATTTAGGTTCGCTCTCCTTTCTTCAAGAGTACGGGATTTGATTCTCAGACCGAAAGCCACGATTGGAGATAGGATTCTCCCTAGTTAAATTCTGAACTAGTTCGTTCATTATTTACAAAGAATAATGAAACTTTCTAAATGCCAAAAGAATCTGTTAAGGGAAGTCTTTTTGCTTCTTTATTTTTTTTGTATTAAAAAAAAAAAAGCAGATTGACTTCACAACTTTTTGGATTTGGTTTGAGTGATCCTTTTGGGCAATTTCGGAAATGAAAGGAGGACACACCACAAAAGGTAGAAATGACTTATTCACAATTTTCATTGTTTTGTTTTTCTGAAATCGCATCCATAGATTGATCAGTATACCATGTTCGTGATTTCAAAAGAATGTATATTTGTTGAACTGCAATTTCCTATGCATGATTTCATTCCAATTGAATGTGATTATCTCCTTCATTTAAAAGTCCTCAAATAACTGATGCCAAATGTTTATAATCTCTTCAACTAATTTGTTTTCTCATTGCTAATTATTCTTTTCATCATATAATTTGCAATACTGCAGTCGTTGTATAGCTCAATATGCTTTTCTGCATTTTGATTTGCAAAATCTGGGAAGGCAATTTATGTCCTTGTGGTTCTTTAATGAGACACAGGCTGATCAAAGTCTATCAATCTAATTTTCACGAATAGACTTATCTAGCATCCATGGAAAAGTATTTAGTACTAATGTAGGAGTTGTTTGGTAAAAATTCATCAACCACAATCACTATAAGTATGATTAATTAGTTTTTTTTTTTTTTTTTTTGTCAATCATCAGCAATACGTAGCCTACTCCTACTATAGCCTATTTTACGAGGAAATCGACGAAAACTGAATCACCATCGGATAAAACGAATGCACTATACACCTGTATAGATTTGGAGAAACCACATGCTAGTAGCAAAGTGACGCGACATAAAGTTTGAATCCTTGAACTCCCACCCCATAAAGATTTGAATCTGTTCTGGAGGCTAACAATCTTTTCTGGTGTCCCTGTTGTTGTTCTCCAATGAGGCCAAAAGCCAAAATATGACCAGACTTGGTGATGGAAATCTGACCCCGGAACATATCAAAAGAATCCATGGCGAGGGTATCATATAATAGAATAGGCTTGTCGCCTCCACTGGAAATATAGAATATTCAGGTTTAAGCAATAAACGTTGTACGGGTACAAAATTCAGGTCCATATAGGCCTTATCTGCTGAGTGCTGATGACTCAAAGGAATCAAATTAGCAAGTGGATATTAGTTCAGCCACTGCGAAAGTATGCATCGACCACTTTAGATGTATAGACGAAGATCATCACTATGTATGACTGCATTCTAATATTTTACTACAAGACATTATTAGTCTTTGCAAATTTTAATATTTCTGACTGAGTCTCTGTTTGATAATTCAATTCAATATTTAAACTTAATGAATTCAAATCTTAATTCAATTCAACACTTAAATTTAATGAATTCAAATATTAACATTTTTAAATTATTTGTTAATAAAAAATTGAACATTTGAATTAATTAAGTGGCACTGAATTTATTAGACAAAATTTATTTTCAAAATTAAGTGATAAGTTATTCACTTATCATTGAATGTGATATGCACTTAAATGTTTTAGATTTAATACTTAACAATTCAATAGTTTAATGGATTCAGATTTCATATTTCAATTTTATCAAGCGCACGCTAAGCTGCCAACCTATATGTCAAATGTGTCTTTCATGCAAAAGTTGGCTTTGCCTTAGTATTATAGTATCATTTATTCATTCTTTGGTTGCATGACCCACCTTTTTTTTTTTTTTTACCTCTCACCCTTTCCTATACCCTTTTGACCCCCAACGGTGAAGTCTAAGATTCAAAATTTGAACCTATTATTGTGCATATTCTTTCATCCCTCCCCATACCCAAATTAAGCACAGGTGAGCATGTTATGCCTATTATTTGGAAAAATTTTATTCACTCTAACACCTTTTCGGAATGTGATATGCGTGAAATATATTAAAGATACTTGGAAAAAACTGTTATGGTGACTCTTGTTGAATAACTATTACAAATTTGGAAGTTGCTACGCTTTTTATCCTATCCTGTACTCTTATGACTCATGCATGGCACACGGCTTTTCCTATGTAAACGTGATATTGGGTACTCCCCTTTATTTAAAGATGACGTACCTACTTATCTTCCTATATAAATATTTTTGTTTCCCCTCATCTGATGTAAATTGAGCAAATCAGAGAAAGAAGAAATTCCACAATCCATTGGCTCCTAAGTAACAATACAGCCAAAAAATATAAAAAGAAAAAAGTGGTCAAGTAACCAACCGCCAGCTCTTGGACTGGTGTAGTGGCCACCACCAAGCCCTTAAATGCCACAATCTGCTTCAAATCCAGACGGGTGCGTAGGAGTAGGAGCGCATCCGTCTGGTCCGATGGTGGTTCTATTTCCATCGGTCTCTCGTAGGTTCAGTTGAGTCTCCCCTAATTAAAGTAGGAATAAGAGTAGGGATGACAATTGATAAAAAAAAAAAAAAAAATCAATCACAAGTGGACCTCACTGGCACTCAAAATAATAAAAAAGGAAAGTTCTTTCTTCCAGAAAACAAAACTAAAAACAAAAAGGAAAAAGTTTCAGTTGAGTGGGCCCCCTAGACAAAGCAGGCGACCAGAAAAACTGGTGCCGTTAACTTGCGTGTCGAAAGCAGAACGGTTCGGATAGCCGACCCTTTTGCCTAATTAGCTAAGGCATGAAGCCCAGAGCCACCGGCCGCTGCTATTTCATACCAGCATTTTGCGGCAAAGCGAATCCCAAAGGGCCAAACAAAAACTCGAATGCCCGACGCCACCATTCCTCGCCACTTGGAAGAAGGGCTCCACCCCATCACTGCCACTAATCCCACCTCTAATGGACCACTGTCCCCTTTCTTCTACATTGAAATTCTCAAACCTGAGCAAAGGTAAAGCCATGAAATATATTATTCTGTTATAGCGAATATCCGCATAATATATTTCCTCAACTACAATGCTTCGAATCTCCTGTCCGGAATCACTCTTTATCTCGTCTGTCCCGTTTTTATACAGTTATTATGTGAATTGATGTATCACATGTAGCAAACTTATGATGAATTCGAATGAACACACGTAGCAACTATATAAATATGAGATCAATGAGACAAAAGGTAATTTCGGAACAGAAGATTCTAAATATTACTGCACGTCTACATTTCCTTATTTGTTCTAAAATGAGGAAACGCACTACTATAGGCTAAAAAGAGAGTTGTTGAAAAAAAATTTCTTTCTTGAGGAGAAAAAAATGTTATGTTAATTGTGAAATTATGGGCATACTACAAACATGTAAATAAAAATTTTTAAAATGTTTTCTATAACTAATTAATGAACTTAAGAAATTGTTTAATGTTCTTTTTATTAATGTAGTTGTGTGAGAAATAAAGTGATATAGGGCCAAAATAATATTGACATAAGTGTAATTTTAAGTACTTACTACAAAACACGAGCATACGATTAAAGATAAACAACTAAACAAGCAAACTAAAGAAATAGCCTAATTTAATATATTTTTAAATTCCTACCATTAGATCATTTAACATCCCTAGTTTTTCATATACACTTTATTACCCTACTATTCAAAGAAGTCTTAAAAGAACGAACAAATAACTTAATAGAAGAAGGTATTGTGAATAATTAACCTTTATATCGTTGTTTAAAATATCAAATATAAGAAGCAAAATACGTAATTGCTTCCCTTTTTTTGATTTGAAGAAGCAAATTATTATGAAATTTAGATCCTTATTGTCGAAAATATAAACAAATACTCAACAAAACACGCAAGCGTAACATTTTTTTTTTCTCTATCTCTCTCTCTTTTTCCTTTTTTTTTTTTGCTGTTTTGAAACACGCAATCATAACTCTTTAAAAAAAAATAAAAAGCTCAAAAAGGAACAATAATTCAAAAATTAAAGCACTTGCTCAATTTCAAACATCTTATTTTGGTAAAACTTTAAAACCTCAAAACAATGCAACCCCCATTTTCGACCGACCCATACAACTTTTCCGTGTTGAATTCAACACATGAAATTCCAATTCTAGCCTTCCTCCCTCCGATAAATACTCCCTCAGTCATCTCCTGTGATTCTTGAAGGTGCCACACAACTCCTTCAGAGCATCTTCTCTTCCTTTCCCTACAATTTCCTCAGCTCCCATTCTCTCTCTAAAATTTCATTATTCAACTCCAATTCAACCGAATAATGACTAGAAGCTTGACTTCAAGCCCTAATTCCAGGAAATCCGTCAAATTTCTTTATAGTTACAACGGTCAAATCCTTCCTCGCCCGTCCGACGGCGTCCTTCGTTACGTCGGCGGCCACACTCGTATTCTCTCCGTCGATCGCTCTATCTCCTTTTCAGGTACATTTTTTTTTTCAGATTCATCTAGTTTTGGTTGCTAATTTACGAATTTTTGGTTGTAAAGCTGATTTTTTTATAATGATTTTTAATTTTCAGAGTTGCTGGTGAAATTTGGAGAATTAACTGGAACTTCGGTGAATTTAAAGTGTAAGTTACCGAGCGAAGATTTAGATGTTTTGATTTCAATTAAATCCGATGAAGAGCTCAGGAATGTCATCGATGAGTACGACCGCGCTTCGGAGTTCAGTCACCTGGAGTTGAAGATTAGAGCTATATTATCACCAGTTCAATCAGTGAAAAAGCTCTCTTCACCTTCTTCGCCGACGCGGTTTCAGCCTTTGAGAATGGCTGCTCCGGCGATCTATACTCCGTCTCCGCCGTCAACTCCGCTGTCGTTTAACTGTTCTCCCACTCAATCGAGGCTTCAGCCGACGAAAATGGCTCAGGGGAGTTGTCATCAGTCTCCGCAGCGTGCGGGGGCGTACAGGTGTTGCTCGCCGCCGCCTCCGCCGCAGGCCGTTGGCTATGCTGCTGGTATAAGGAAAGACGCCCGGAGGAATCAATGCTGTCGCCATGGAAGTCCTAGGCAGCAATATTTTATTCCTTATTCAAATATATACTTACTGCCGATAAAACCGTAGAAAATAAAGTAATACAGAGGATAGAAAGGGGGGAAAAAAAGAAAAGAAAAAGGAGAACATTCAAAAATCGAGTTTGAGAAAAATATAAGAGTATATAGATACAGCGACTTATACATACGTATATACAGGTGCAAAATAGTTAGAAATTGCCTTTTTTTTTTGGGCTTCTGGATTCTGGAATGGAAGTTTGATAAGAATTGGATTTTTTATTTTGACATTTCTTTTTTTTTTTTGGGTGTGTTTTTGTATACACTATATTCAATATTTGATGATTTTTTTCCCTCTTTGGGTGCGGATGTTTGAGATGGGCTTCAGTTGTGTGATCTACCCAATTCTTTGTTTCTGATGTGGGAAAACAAATAAGGCCGTTAAGATGAGCTCAGGCGCCGTTTTCACGTCGGATTCAATTGCAGGGTCATTTTCGTTGTCTTTATGCGAGATCCGTGTCGTGAGGTGGCCGTCACGGGAACGTGAACTGCCCCTGCCTAGTATGGGCAGCGGGCAATATTATTATATTTTTTCAAAAATGAGAAAATATGGAGTAGTTATCTTTAATTTTTTTAATTTCTATTTATTATTAGTAAATTGAGGTATTAATAAATGGTATTTTGGTTTTGTTTTCGCAGGTCAACAAAGGCAGATGTATTGGACATTTGGATTTTGGACCCGTTGAATGGAAAGTTCATGCCGTATGCCATTGTGCTTTCATCAAGAGCCGGAGGACCAAGCCTAAAGCAAAACACCTCCTTAGCGAACAAATTTGGAGGAAAGAAAAACGTTTGCTGTATATAACTCTTGATGAGTGCTGTGCCTGTGCTACGGAAAGTAGTGAATCTAGAAGAATTAAACATTAAAATTTAATAATGTTACACAATTTATACCTAAACGGCACTAAACCAAGCTCACAGGGCAAGAGCCTTATTAAAGGCAATCAAGTGGTTAGTCTGACTATGAAATTTGATTTTCAAATCGATAATAATATGGGGTAATGAATTACAAGATTAACGTTTGAATATAAGAACAATAAATGTGAATGGAAGCGTGCCTTTTGAGGCTTGGGTACTAAAATTATGTCTTTTCACATGATAGCGTGACCAGATACCACCATCATCACAAGTTGGGATACGCCGGCCAAGTTGGCCAACATGCATTCCAGGAGGGCACCTGGAAATAAAATAAGGAGACTTGAGGAATGCCTTGCTTATCAATTCAACGGGGCACACGTTTGTAACACGGTCAAAGGGGTTGTTGGTCCTTTGATTAAATGACTTAGCATGCAGAAATTTGGGAACTTGAAAATTGCAGGACTAATCGGTGACACACGGTCTGCTTCTGCCTCCCCACGAAATAGCTCGAACGGTCCGCTCTCCCTCTTTACGGTATGACGACCTTCCTGATTTATCCAAAATTTGAATCCCGTTGTTAACGTACTCGGTGTGGAGTGGGATCTCCTCTTCCGGACCGCAGGGAATTAGTCGGACTCCGTAAGAATTGATTCGGACACCTGTGTGTAGACAAAAAAAAAAAAAAAAATCAGTGACATGTTGCTTATAAGAATATTTATGATAGTGGATGAGGATTCATCACTAGGAATTTTTGGGCTCTGGCGAATATACTGGGAACATTTCATTTTGGTCGGACAATGAACCTAAGTTGCAACTTCTAGTTGACTTTGAATATTTGGTTCATTGCGTGTACGATTGACCAATGAGTTTCCAAGCAAGTCGGCAGGTTTAAGCGCCGAGCGGGCCAAGACAAATGGGTTTTTCGACTCCGCTACTCGGTATCAAATTCAGTGTTTCGAATCAAATCAAACCAATTTTTTAAACAGAAAACTTAGTATAAATATAAAGTTGGTACCAAATTTTATTGAAAAGCGACACCGAAAATCTCATGTGGGGCTCAGAACTGCATTAGTATTAAATAATTACACAGAAAATTTGCCACGAAGAGAGATACAAAATCAGAAGCATCCATTTGCATTGCATTACCATCTGTATGATGTAAAATGTGTTGAAGATGCAACGTCTATAGCCAACTACAAGTAGCCATAGACGTGTATGCTATAATGGCACAAGATATTATGCTCAAGAGACATTCTTTGTTATGTTTTGCACTTAGAGGAGTTATTCTTCTCGTCAATAGCGGAATTTTGTAAATATTTCGGTGAAAATACAAGTGTATTAGAGCTATTTTAGTTCTATAACTAGTATGGAACAATAATAATGCATGATGACAATAGCATCATACATAACTAATAAATAAAACGCGAGAACGTAAAGAATCCTATGATGCTCCACAACTCGTTAAATTACTTATATATATATATATATATATATATATATATATATATATAGAAAACTTTCTGTTTGTGATTGTAGTAATCATTTTTGTTTATTCAAAATTGTTATCATATTACTCATTGCTACATAATTGTCTTGAGTTTCTCTTTTTTTTACTCATATTACTCATTACTCGTTAAATTATTATTTTTATATAGAAAACTTTCTGTTTGTGCTTGTCGTAATCATTTTTGTTTATTCAAAATTGTTATTATATTACTTATTGCTACATAATTGTCTTGAATTTCCTCCAATTCAAAATTTCTACAATTCAATACCTTAAAATGTATATATTTTTTTGGTTAGTCGACACATTGATAAATTAGTAGACTGAGAATACAATACAGACCACTACTTAGGCCCCATTTGGAACGAAGTAAAAGGAAGGAAAGGAAAGAAGGGAACTCTAGTGAAAAAGAAAGGAGCAGAGAATAGAGGAAAATAGATTTCATCTATCTTGTTTAGATTAAATGTGAAAGAAAAATAAAGGAAATATAAAAAAATACGGTTTGTATGAGCACTTGTAAAGATATATTTTTGGTGTTATATTTTTGAAAATATAAGATTAATTAGAAAAAGTAAATAAATATAAGGGAGAGTAAGTAAGATTAAATAGAGAAAGTATATAAATGAAAGAGAGTATAATAATTATTAATATGTGTATATATATAGTAGATTAGGTGAATACTAGATGTGTTAGTGGGTGCCTTGCCCTAAGGGCACCACCTGTCAAAAAACCCTTAAAAATATTATTTGAATTAGGGAAGGGAAAAAAATTAAATTATCATGTGTTAGTTACATTTTTATTTATAATAATTTTATAAGCTTAATTTAAAAACACATAGTTTTTTAGAAAATTTTAAAAGTTTCATTTATCTTGATTTCCTTAGATTAGCTGTTACTTCTCGTCCTAACCACTCTTTTTTCTTTATCTTTTAAAGGTAAGGAAAGATATTGAATTAAGCACCTAATATGCTAATTCACTAAAATGATTCTACATAAAGCAACTGCCCCCGAATCCTCAATCAGAATAAATTTTATTAGGAGAACCTAACCTCCATTTTATTGAAGGAAATAGAATAACGTTCACAACGAATTATTCTTTGTAGGATTCTCACAAAAAGAAAGAATGAAGAGAAAGGATGGCTGCCGAACTCCTACTTTCGTGTCAGATTAACAAATCCTCAATGGAGGGTACCAACTTGGGGTACTTAATGAGAAGTGGATGTAAATTGATGGCACTTCAAACTTTGGTGCGAAAAGACTAGTGTACTTATAACCAACAAAATTGGGGTATTTATTAAGAAGCAAATGCAAATTGCTGGCACTTAAAATTTTGATGCGAAATTGCTATACTTTCCTCACATTCAAACCAACCAATAATCAACAAATTTGAGTGTATTTATTAAGAAGAGGATGCAGATTGTTGGCACATCCAATTTTGGTGCAAAATGAATTTACTATCCTCCACACAAATTTTAAATAATGTCTCAAACCAAAAAAAAAAAAGAAAACCAAAAAGGAGAGCTTGAGATTCCAAGAGAATAACCCCTCTCTCTCTCTTTTCCTTCCTCAAAAATCTATCCAAACGCAAACAACCGTATCCCTTCGTTTCTTTTCCTTTGCTTTCCTTTCCTTCCCTTTCCTTCAAAACAAACAATCCTAGTATCCCTCGTTCTTGGGACTTTCCCTTCCTTCCACATATGGCATCCTCGTGTTCTTAGAATTTAGGAATTGGATTGCACTCAGATCAACATTCAGCTTCCGCTCCACCCCTGATCGAAATCCGCAATTTAGGAAATGATTGCGCTTAGAATTTAGATAGAGACCACGTTTTGAAATTCCTTCTGTCATGCATGGTCCATAGTTAACTACTAGATTTACATAACTTCTTCTTTTGCTCTGGATTAATGTTTTTTTCCTACACATTTTTGTTTCCAATGGAATGTCGTTGAAACTATGCATCCTTATATTGGAAGATAGGTAGGTGAATATATGTGAGGGGATCTTCCAAAGAACTAGGAATATATGAGGCATTAGCTTCATTATACTACTTATTCCATGCTTATCCAGCATCAGAATATTACAACTGTTTCTTGTTAATTAAGTTACATACAAGAAAAGATAGATACGTAGAACTTGCAGTGCACAGCCGGCTTTGATCGACTTTTTATTAAAAGCCTCAACTGCTAGCTGCCAAAATGTTTTCTAGTTTTTATTTTTGAGCACTTTTTAATCATGAGTTTGACACCTTTCCTTCCCAATTCTCATAGCTATTGGGGCATACAAATGTGGTGCAATAATAATTCCTAAGCATATATCATAAGGGAGTGAAGATTTATGAACAAAGAACATAGATCCCAAAGAGAATCATTTTACCTAGTAGACAATAACAGTTGAACATGTTGTACTATCAATTTCTACAATATGGCCTCAGAAGTTTATCCACTTCGGTTCGAAATAGTTTTATTGGGATAGTACAATTATCAGGTGGGACGTAGTTTTATTAGCGCTAGAAAACAAGGAGCTAGAGTCACGTAATAACATACAAGAAAATTCTCCTATGAGGTATATGCATCTGTAAATTATAGGCTATTTCTTCCACGGAAAGGAGAACATAGGAAACAGAGTTAACTAGAAGGGAGGGGTTTAGAAATTGAGACTTAGATGACTGTCCAGAGTAATGGAAACGAAAGCTTGGAGTCTCAGCATGTTAAGGTTCCTACAATAAAGTTCACCAAGATGTTCATTAATGGAGAGTTCGTTGATTCTGTTTCAGATTCCTACTTAATTGTTCTCTTCCTTCTTTCTTTATGTTCTCCAACATTCTTGGATTCAATATGAATGGAACAAGAAAGCGTGAAAGTACTGGATCTACTGCGGAAACCGAAAGGAAAGTTACTCAGTTAAACTCAATCTTACCTTTGAACAATTCTACTGTTACTACTTGGTCTTGGGATGATATGGATTGACTGGAAAATGCTTAGGCAGTCTTAGTGTCCGGGCTACTTGGTATACTTTTTAGGGTTAATAACACTATATCCCCGAACTACAGGAGTAGTCGCATTTTGCCCCCTACTCTAGTAAATGTTAGGCCTCAAAACAAGTGAAAATTTTGCTTCCAACTTTGCCTTAAGTATTGTTCACACTTTTCCCCATTCAGCCAAAAAATGTATACATTGCTTTAATAATTAGCAACTCTATATATTATATACTGAACTGATAAGAAAGTAATAAAATTATAATACTTAAAATTTAAAACTAACATACTTTACATCAAAATATTATTGATTAAAAATTCCATATATATATATGTATGTGTGTGTGTATATGCATATGTATATGTATATAGTTCTTTAAAATAAGCTTTCTGTATAATCACTTGACTGTCAACATTTCCTTACAATGTATTTTTGTAAGTTTTCTTTCAAGATAGAATTAGAAACTTCCATAGTAAAAAATGTACTATAAACACTCTCATGTGCCATAGTATCTTTTAAAATTTGTAAAATTACCTTTTAAATCTTTAACCTCAAAATTTTAAAAATAAGTTAGGTAAAATTTCAATAAATTTGATATCAGCAAAATACATATACCTTTGCAGCAAATATTGTAATTTAAAAGCACATTTATATCT